AAGGCACACAAACTGCGCAAAAATATGAGTTGACACTCAAACCAAACCGACAAAACAAAGTTTTGAATTGGAGCAAGCTCCGTGCGTCAGCATGCAGCAGGCGCCATAAAAGGAAGAGGAAGGGAGATCACTCCGTGGCTCTGTCATCGAGATAGAGGTTACGTCACGGTAGGGAGGTAGGGATATTTGAATCTTTTGTTTTTGGGCTACAAAGATGGGTGTAGGTATTGTATATGCATACTAAAGTTATGGTAATTATTACTGAAATGAAATCCGAATATACCGGGGCCCAAAAAAGGGCCTTATAGACACTCATCCTTTGCGATGATTACGGGTTGACAAAAATTAGAAAAGGGTTGTTTATTATAACGTCACAGCGTACTATTCTTATAACCATCAAATAAGGGAAACAAACGCATTTTGACACTTTGTACCACATAAATAGAATTGATGGAATGTTGATTTAGAGGAATTCCATTCTGATTATTATTGAGCGATTTATCGCACTGTGGAAACTTACGCGTTTGAAATAAAAAAAAAATGTATTCAGGTTAGACATAAACAAACAAACAGCTGATATAGACGGTTCGATAATGTCAATTCCATAGTCATTCCTTACCTGGCATAATCAATTAAAGTCATGGAAGGCCTATTTCCAATAGAGGCCCCTTACAGGTGTATAGTTTTGAAATAAAAATGCATTACATGGTGAAAAAGACAAAGTAACGTGCAGGCAATATTGCAGCCAGAATTAGAAATACACAAATTCGTTTTCGAATTCGTCTTTCAGCAAATCCAAATAATGTTGTTCATCCTTCAATTTGAAATGATTCATACTATTGTATTGCCTTATATTATATATATATGTCAGCAGGAAGATTGTTTCAGTCTTTTGATGAACTAGAAAAGAAAGCTGGGTATTCTAAGGTTTTGATATTTATTAAACTCGATCTTTTAAAAGATAAATAGACTTTTATTGAGAAAAAATTTAAGATAGGAAGGGCCTTTATTGTGAACAATATTGAAGTCATGATTCAGTTTAAATTGTTTTACATTCTTTGTAGGTGATTTTTGTCCTGAAATCAAGTTTTGATTAAAATCAAACAACATTTTTCTGAGTCATTTGGAGGCTTTGCGTTTGTCCTTTAGTAAGCCCTTCGAACCATGATAAACATGCAAATTCGGAGTTATACTGAATGAGAGCAGAGCAGGGTGTGTTTTAGCTTTAAATGGCTTTAAAAAGAATAGTACTAATTAGTAAATAGTACAATTTATTAACAAAGACAATTTGTGTTATATTTTTTTAGATATGGAATGAACTATGAAATGAATTAAATAAAAAAAACAATTAATGTAAGTTTTTCACATAGATGTCAGTGGTATCAAATGCCGTTTGAAGGCCGAATACAATCATTCCAGTATATATTCGTTTGGTTTTTAGAGACTTAATGTGATTGACTAGATCAATGAGACGGTAGAATGGGAACTACTGAGGCCTGACTTAAGTTCATAGTGCAAATATATACAATTATATAGCAACAACAGGGATACTATAGAGACTAGTGTATGAACCAGTATTCAAGTTGCCCATTTTTTTATACATTTTCTGAATCATATTTAAATAAAAACTCAAAGCCGTTCCCTTTGATATTCTAAAAGAAGGGTCTTAAACATTACTTATTAAAATGATTAATCAAAATGTGCATTTTCTCACTACATTATGTATATCTGGTGCCTTTTGCAGATACTTACGAGATAAATTTAACAAATGCAGTGTGTCCCAAGGTAGAGTAGTCCACAGTGGATCTCGGCTGGAAGTCTACACAAGTCCTCTGTCTCATTTCGTCTATAGCAGCTTCTATGATAGCGATTTGTTCTTGGCCTATTATTATGGAATAGAAAGAAAAGTTTGTTGAGAATGTTATCGATTGAAAGTGTTCAGAAAGATTTGGTCTGATGGAGTTAAACGATGTTTACAGCTAAGGTCATTTAACGACATGTCCCTATTTGACATATGTATATTGACAAAAACCTTTCCAACACATTACAACGTGACAAGGCGCATTTGCCTAGCAACATTTTAACATGAAAAGGCTCATTAGCCTAGCTGCAATAAAAAAAAAAAATCCTTGTTGTTCGCCTCATTGCACTTACATCTTCCCCTGCCACTGTAAAGTTATATACTTACACACGTTTATCCTTAGTGCAGGATTGTACAATAGAGGCTCCCCTTAGAACTCACAAAAAAAATCCTTAAAAATGTAGTTGTTAATACTCATATTTTGCTATGTCAGCCATCACTATTTTGTTCAGGTTTGGTTTTTGTGGGGTATATTATGTTCATATACGTAAGCAAGTCAAGATATAGTACAGATATTGATGTTTTCTACATATGAAATAGTGCAACATCGAAATTAAGCGGCTATGATAGAAAAAAAGTTTTTGTGAATTACATAAATATTCGTATGGCATACATATCGTATTTCCTGACGGGATTTTATATAGAATACGTACTGAATCCACCAGTTTCGATTTCATAGGGCACTATACCGTTCGACCAAAGCAAGTCATTCTTCGGAAAATTTCTTCTTGTAAGTCTCTTTTCTGCATCCTTAAATCAACAAAAAACTTTATCTGTTTGCAATGATTGAACATTTTCTATTTGCTATAGATTAAACGAAGGTAGCAGAACAGCTATCAATAGGTTTTGTTAAATATACACTTTAATTATTTAACAACAATTATGAAACCAGTTATTTCATCTTAAAATCAATCTGGTTGGTCCGGATGTTACCAAGCAAGGTGTCTTTATAATTGTGTTGGCTGTAAGGGGAAAATTTAATATGTACATGTACATTAATTGTTTTTACAGATAGAGGTTCCCGAAAAGTAAGTGAGGTAGGGTATCATATTTATCTAACTCCAGTAAGTTCATTTTTGAAATGGTATAAAGCCACCAGTTTTACCGGGTATATATTACAATTTGAAAATGTACTGATTAGAAAAAATCACATGATTCCAGTTTCAGATCGAGGAAACATTTACTGTGGATTATGACGACATAATGGAACATAAAAGCATTGCTGCTTGACGTCATAATAAGAAGAAAAGGACCAATGAAATAACGTCCAGGATGGTACCCACTCTATTGGGTAACCAAAAGAGGTAACCACCATCTAGTTTTAACCAATGACTAGGGCATGAGGACAAATTTAGTGTGGTTGTCAGAGAAAAAAAGGATTAACTGCCAAATGTTCGTTGTAGTTGAAAATATTCGAAAATATTGCTAAAGAATTGATTTGAATCATTAACAATTATTCATCCTCGTGACACTGCACGACACCTAAACTAAGATTTGTTGGTTGTCTGATAAACACAATAGGCTGATGATCTGATTCCAAGTATCTACTTTTAATAAAGAAGTTGAGCGTCCTTTGTACATGGACCGCCAAGGCCCTGATTATGCATTTATGTTATACTGAATACCAACACTACACTGAGACTATTTGATACTGTTTATGCCCTGAATATGTTTACCTGCTGTGACAACTCTTCTGTTTCCGTGTTCGGTTTCGGTGTCGGATGTTGATCATGACTTTCACCTATAAGCTTTTCCAGCTTCTCTTTATGTAGGTCTTTCGACTGAAATGACAATTCATGCACGCAGTTACACTACTAAGTTACAGTGTAGTTTTTTTCGAGATTTGTGTTTCTGCATATTCAATCGACCACACGTTTAGTTTAGCTCAAGTTTCACTTTCAGATGCCGTATCATATATCATGAAAGGTCATTGACGACACGCGATTACACGAAATCCTAAACGTGATCATTAAAGGGCGGACACTTGTAAGTGAGGGTTGTGGCGCTGCGTGATTAAGAACCCATTATGCCAGATAAAATTTACAACAACTGAAAAATTGCTCCATGAAGGTCTTGAGCAATTAACCAGAGACTAAAATATTAATATAAAGAGAGTTTGGCAGAAATACTAGGCTTTATTTCTGACAAATAATGGCATGTGTACAGCAGGTTCTGGAAGTGTATAAGTCCTTCTGTACACAGATGCCGTAGGTAACTTTCCTAAACGAACAAAGAAAATGCAATGTTAATTATGAATGGTTATTCGTTTATAATTTTGAAGGAAAGAAAACTGCTTTCCCCTGTACAATATCTTTCCCGTTGATAGTCAGTTACGTTAGGATTGGCTATAGTGTTAAATAAATATATCAGTTTCAAATAAATCACCTCTTGATAGTCTTGAACATTTATAGCAAGATAAAATTAATAAATTTGCATCCATGAATATTAGGATACTAAAAGCAGTGCTTCCGTGTCACCGTATAGTTACTTACTGTCATCTTTTTGCCATGAATATCCACTTCAAACTGTCCGAAAAGTTTTGCTTGATCACTGTTTGGGTTTACATACTGAAGTGAAATTATAAAGACGTGTTAAAAAGCGAGATAGTGCTGATGCTTTCTGATATATAGTGGAATGAAATAGTGGTACCTAGTTCGACGAGGTATATAATAAATACGTTCAAACAACGTACATAACATAACATGTATATACACGTAGCACTTTAGCAACTATAAAAAGCATACCACTCCATGTTTGCCAACAATGATAGAGAGACAGAGACTGATTTAATTTGAATATAAATAACCACGCCATGATCTTGCCTTTTTTATATATCTACACTGACATTGTGGCATGGATAATGTCATAGGGTATGAACTAAAGGTTCAGTTCGTTATTTTTGTCATGTAACACATATACTGACACTGACATTGGCGTAAGTCTCACTAGGAAATAACTCACCGTTCTGTCTATGTCAACACCATGACCGTGATCTCGCGTGTTACCATTCTGTTTGCCATCGTCCACCCCATTGTTATCAGCCACCGTGTTAGTCCTCTTTTGGGCTAACCTTTCGACCAGTGACACGTCTTTTCTGTCTGATCTGACATCCTCTTCTTCCTCTTCTTCCTCATCTTTACCAGTATCGTCAGTTCGACTATTGATGCTCCGTTCATCTCCCGGTAACGAATCTTCCTCGTTGTGTTTGGTTGACAAATCGTCTTTACCCAGTTCTTTTACTGTTTCTTCTAGCACATCATTTTCCTTAATATCTTCTGTCTTGTCTGCTTCCTCTCTCCTCTCTTTCCTTTGTTTTTCATATAATGTCGACCTGAGATCATGGCCACTTGTTTTGAGTTTCCTCAGTGCTGTTATCAGCTGCCTAATCTTAAGATCTTTAAACAGAAAAAAAAATCTTTTTGAAAGGAACGTTATTCTAAGAGATTGGGCAATGTCGTTTTGTCTTGCTTTGCTTGTTTGTTGTTTTGTTTGTTTGAAACGTTCACTTATGTGTTGTTTTCCTTAATATATACCAGATGTGTCATGATCAATTTTATCACAACATATTTAACACAGAAGCTTACAATAACTTATATAGCTGAATAATGCATCCTTATTTATAATTAACTGCAATCAAATGTACTCCATTATTAAGTTTGTGCGTTTGTTTGTTTGTTTAGGGGGTTAACGTTCTCGTCACAGCTAACTTCTATCACATCCAGGAACCATGAGAGACACTATCGGAATGAAAGAAAAAACGAAAGCATATAGATTCCCCGTGATGCACTGTGAACAATTTTTTTCAGCCCACACCAGTCGCCTCTAAAGACATCATGCCGTAGGATATATCAGGCATGTTTCTCCCGAGTCAATAGGATATATGTATTTAGGACAACAAATAATATAACCATGATCAAACAACGTAATATTCAAATTAATTCTATACATACGATCGTCCTAATAGGAACACTGGCTTACTTTGTTTTACTTTAAACATCTTAACACACTATGTTTTGCTTCTCTCCTCAAGATCATAAAAACTTCCATTGTTTTAGACAACAGAAAAAGAAATATGTCCTGATAAACCCATAATATATTTGGTGATTTAATGAAAACAGCTACTATATATTTTAGATTAATATTTCCGTACTGTATCATTAACAAGCTCATCAACAATACGCTTAGCTTAACAACGTATGTAAAGATAGCCTTCTGGATCAAGATGTAGTTAGACTGACAACAATGGACATGCGAGTAGTTAGACTTGATACAGCTATAAGGTGGCCACGACCTTAAACGGTTAACACGCTTAGGTCTAACATTGAATGGCCTTTACGTGTTCAGTGCCCTATTTTGATATGACATTCAAACTTACCTCGACAAGTCTAGCATGGTTCAGCTTTAAGCTAGGTGTACGTGTACAAGTAAAAATGCAATTTTGTATCTTGTATTGTATAGTTTAATTGCTTGAACACCCTACGGTCGGTTGTTTTGTTCTTATTGTTCATAATCAGGAGTAAGTGAGTATATCTACATCTCAGGCATCTAACCCGTGCTAAAATTGTATTTTCAGTAACTACCTTAAATGAACTCAGTCACCGTACCTGTTCACGTACCATATTTACTAGTATTCTGTATATAAAGGATACGAACAAACAGTTTTATTTAAGCATTAGCATGTTTCTGTTGTTAGAAGCAGTTTAATACGTTGAAAATTAGGGTGACTGTTACCTCTTTTAGGGGGCTTGTTGAACCTTAATTACCCTTTTGGATATTTTTAATATCACAGAAGAAAAAAAAATAGCAAATTTATTTAACATTGGTCAGTGCTAGCTTGGTTTTATACGGTATGGTGTCCTATCAATAGCTAAGGTCATTTTAATGTGTATTGTATGCATGAATGCTGCTGGCAACCCATTGAAATACCATGCGTTGGGCTCCAAACGCGCGTATCTAACCGGTTACAATATACTGACAACGGTTAAACCTGCTAGTGCTACACCTAACATTCTGACCGTTTGGCTGGTAATAACATTTTCAGGTTTGAGGACATTGGTTGGACTCACTTGGACGATTTGGTCTGGTTTCCTCTTGTTTAATGTCATATAAACACATAAGGTCATTTAAGAACGTGTCTCCATGTTTGTAATGTATGTGTATGTGTGCAAGTGTATATGCATGCATGTGTGATTGAAGCGGACTGTCGGTGTTTTTTCCAAACAAAGTAACAGGAAAGAAAGTCGTTGTGAGGAAGAAAAGAAATAATATAAATATCCCGAATGTTGAAATGAGTGCAGCAAATTTATTTCGATCGTCGCTTTTGTTTACCAAATAAGAGAGAACAATAGCAAGTCCTACAGTCTGCAGGGGTCGGGCTCTTACAACATGTCATGGGAAACAGCAGAACTATTTTTGGTTTTCACCACCTGACCTTTTGTGATGTTATTGATAGCTGAAAGGTGAATTGAGTGGCAACGTTAAAAAGTTTTAAAATTGATAAAAGAACTCATGCGTGAGGTTTGTCTATTACGTTTAAATCTTGCATGTTTCATCATTTACTTGGTCTTATATATCAGGTGAAAAAAGTGAGTAATACCTTCTAGACTGGTGTCGATTAAGACTTTCATTTAATATCTGCATACTTGGTACAAGATCAAGTTGCATCGAAATATGTCGTAGAGGGCAGAAAATCAAAAGATCATTTCGACTGTAAAGAACAAGGAAATAAAACAAGTGATGTTTGTGTCTATATGGTTAAACCTAGGCTGATATTTACTGTAAACACGAGACACACTCAGTACGCTGTTTTATTGTGTTGATCAACGAAAGCTTCAAAACAGTGTGTTATGTATTTGATACACACGGGTATCGTATAGCTTCCGAATCTACTATAGAGCCAGTTACAGTTAAATGAAAGCTAGGAATCTAAATAATCTTATCGAGAAGGGTTTTAATCAGTTTAGAGAATATGGTTAAAAATCAGCTTTGAAAGTTCGATAATGATTATTAAGCTGCGTGATAAGTTTTCTGTGTCTTTGAAGTTAACATTACAAGGGAATTTAGTCCCTATCTTTATGGAAACGATAAAGCTTTGTACTGTATTGTTAACGGTGGAAATATTGGGTAGAAAATATACATAACAATGACCATGCATAAAACCAAAACACAAATTATGTTCGTTCCCTTTGTTTATGGGCGGATTTGTCGAGTGGTTAACACTCCAGCCTTCCACGCAGGCGACCGGGGTTCGATTCACAAAGTCGTTGTACGCATGGATATTCAGAGAAAGTGTTTTTCTCCTGCCCACACGACCCCAACAACCAAGATGGAACACTGGTATACATTGATATGGGGTGGATATTGCGTTATCTGTGCTGAAGCATTCAGGTGAGGTGGCACAATAAATGCGCGGAAGCACGGTCCCACTACAAACAGAACACATTACATCTCGAACACGCAGGCATACACACATAGGGATATATTAACCAGGTGGCATATGTTTAGTAGTTAGCGCCTGATAAGGCAGCTCCTGCCAATTCCTCGAAATGATATTGATTAATGTATATGCTAATTGTATAAATGGTATATCTATGAACTGTAAAGCGCTTTAGAGTGCTTTATGTTGGCTAGATAGGCGCTATATCAAATGTTGCATGTTATTATTGTTATATTATTATCTTAAGTGTGGTAGGAAAAACACAAAATTTAGTATAATTAAATGATTTATTCTTGTTTCAATATTAAAGTAAAAACTATCCCAAACGTCCATTGGACACAATGATCTTAGCTGTATTTACAACCTGGTTGTTTGTTATATCAGGTCTCATCAGGTTGTTACAATACTGCCCGGCATATATTGTGTGTAATTGTGTTTCAATTTAATAGGATTTGTAGATGAATAGAAAAGTACTTTAAACGAATTGATCAGAGTAAAAAATGTTAAAATATTCAAAAATAAATTAGCTTTTAAGATTATGTCAAGTTGTGACGTCAGCGAGATACATCAAGTAAACAGTCATTCGTTTACAAGAATGGTGATATTTTCAAAACTAAATTGATCATTTAAATTCTGTCTCCAAAGAGAGTTAAGGTGAGGCATCACATAGTAAGCGATATAACGTATGTATACAGAAGCTTGTATCATGTCATCGGATTTGACACGTAGCACTGGCTGGATTTCTATTGTAAACATTGATCAATTTGACAGAGACGAAGTCCCTTGTATATACAGTTAGCTGGGGTAAAAATGACGTCGAATAGCACGCCGTTGTTGACATTGTTATTACCTCGATATTAGACATATTTCAAGATCACTTGACACATACTTTCTAATTAATCCTGTAACTTTCTTTAAAGGATTAACTTAATTCAGCATGCATCACGACATCGATAAAGCGTTTATTTCAGCTAAGGGCTTTGGTAAATACTCACATAGAATTTTTTCAACACTTAATTATAAATAAGAGGTACACGTTGAGGTAAAGCACACACCGCTGACATTTAAATGTCACTGCTATCGTGAAAATGTAAGTGAGGCATAGATAATACAACACTCTAAATCATAATTGATTTGGCGCTGGACTTGGTAATTTTTCACCTCATAAACATCCAACCCTGCTTTTTGAAACAGACCGTCTAAACAAATCAGCTCTATATTATATCCGTCCTGACAATAGTCGGGACTTTAATATTCCCTGAGCTCATTTGTCTCATTTTTAATTTTAATATATATGACAAAATCGTCGAAACTTGTATTTATTGAAAAATAACTAAGCCAATGAGAAGTTCATGTATCTATAGGCAAAGATATTTGTGAATTTGTAAAAGTTGTAGAATATGTATTTTCCCTGTTTCAACATAAGTTTAGATCCCCCACCCTAGCATGAGTCCTTAAAAGTATGATGCGGTGTTTAAATTTGGCATAATCCATTTTAAAATTGCAGTTGCCTGTGTGTGTTACGTTCTTTGAAATTTAGCATACCGACTCGTTAAACAGTTTTAACAGTTGCTTTCTGTATTGTTCCTGAATAACACTGACATTACGAAGACTGCCCATCATATTTGATTGCAATTTGCTCTGTTCCTGATGAACAACGAGAGTTTGCACAGTGTTGCATTTGTGGTTTCCGGATTGCGGGGTATGTTGGGTTAAACTTCCACCACAATTACCGGTCATGTGTTTTCTGATTACAATATTCATCACGGTCAATATTCATAAAGGAGGTATATGAAGATCTATCAATCAAAGAAGGCAATTACCAACGTCCCAGGTGAAACGGTATTGACGTCTCTTGAAGAATAAAGTTTACTAGATACAGTTGCACAAAGAACAGGTGCGCATGATGATGAACGCAATTGGTTGATATGAATATTCCGTGTAAAGATACACATAAAA